GCGAGTCGCTGGGTCTCTGTGAGTCACTGATGACTGGGCTGAGACGATCAACTCCCTGCACTTGAGAACCAGCACAATTGCTGAGACCTCGATTTCCAAACCAGGTGTCACAGTCGTGCCGGCTCCGTGGCCCGTGACACGGCCACTGAAACTCGTGAAGGAGTTCGCCGCCCTGTATTTGACAAGCCCTGGTGACGTGTAAAGCCTCTTGGGATGCTCGCAGCTGCCGGCGGTGTGCAGGCACTGCACGGGCTGTTCCACAGAGGCACCAGCCGCTGTTAAAAGCGTTGCAATTTGCCATCGGGTTTGAGCTTCGCAGCTGAAACGTTGCTTGGAAAAAACGAATCCCCGACAATAGAGCTGTTGCAAGCTGAGAAGTCTCGAGTGTGTTCCTACTCCGCACTATGAACCTCGCTCACCCGAGTTAAATTCCCGGCCACGGCTATCGTCAGTGGCGACGAATTTTTTTTTTTAAACGGTTCGGTTCCCCCGGGGTCCACGTCACCCCCTTCACCAAACAGCCAGTGGCCGTGCGTGGTGACGTATGGTCGACCACGTGTCGTCAACGTCGACCACGTGTCGTCAACGTCGACCACGTGTCGTCAACGTCGACCACGTGTCGTCAACGTCGACCACGTGTCGTCAACGTCGACCACGTGTCGTCAACGTCGGCCACGTGTCGTCAACGTCGGCCACGTGTCGTCAACGTCGGCCACGTGTCGTCATCGTGCCCCTAGAGTAGACGGCGTCGACAAAGAGCCGGGGTCGGTCGTGCAGCAGCAGCAGCGGTGACGTCCCCACGCCGACACGGCGATCACGTGTCCACGATACGCGCGTCCACCGGACCGTGCAGACACCAATTGAACGTTGGCGGTCTCTACGCCCAAATGATGCCGCCAAGTCCACGCTCGCACGACCTTGGACGTGAGGAACTAACGAGACGAGATGGGAAAACTCGTTTTCTTCGTGTGGCTAATGTGGGTGGAGCGCAACGGCTGGAATGTAATATGCAACAGGAGACGACGTGAACGAGGCCAGCACGACACAGCCACCGCTTCCCACGTCCCAGGTCTCGCACGAGTAGAGGGGGCGAGTCTCCGTGATGCTCAAGCAGCCGCTTCACTTGAGAACTCGGGTGTCTCGTCGTCAGCATCATCACTCCAGGGGTCGATAAAACGATGACCACCCACTGAGGCAAGCGAACGGGCGAACGGACGGTCACCTTTTAAAGGACGTGCGCATTGCTCGTATCGAAATGTGGAATTTCCACCACTGGTTCAGGAGGTGAGCTACTGGTGGTAGTGGTAAACGCGTCGGGCGAGACCAGCGATCCAGTCACCAATCTCACATCTCAGCAGGCAGAGGGCGTTGGCGGTGTCCGAGCGACTTCAATCGGCACCACTTCAATCGGCCTCCCTCGTTCAGAGCAGGGGTGGCCGAATGAATCGATTAAAAGGGCAGGCACTGGTGGCCACACTGAGCCCACGGACAGTCGGGAAGCGCTGTCTTTCAGGTGTGTGTGGTGAGCCACACGGAGAGAGTTCAACCGATCAGAATTTCCCTCCCTCCCCTCCCTGCGTATCGGACACTGCGCTTATGAACCCACGCAGCCTCTCTCTCTCGGCCCGTTCCGAATTCGAAGAAAAAGCGAAGTCAAGAAAGAGAAAACATTCGACTGACCGGGTTCTCGTGCGTCGCAAAAATCTGGGATGTCAACCCGCGACCTGGCACGCGCAGTGCCCGCTGGAGGCAGCCGAGCCCCGCGTGGTGCCCTGGGGGCTCCTCCGCTCGCGTCGCGGTCCGGGTCTCACTGGCGCTCGATCCTCGTGTTGCGCTGGCGGCTGATAACGCGACGCGCAGTTCACGCGGACAGGATTTCACCGCCACGTGTCGCGGTGCCTTTGGTCCCCTTCTCTCTTGGAAACGTCGCCTTTTTGTGTCTGTGTCGCTGCGAGTAAAACGTAAAAGTGTGCGCCCGATATTGAGGGGGACACGCGGCGCTCTCCCTCGACTCGCGTCTCAGCAACCGCACGCGCGCGCGGCGGAATTCGCACTCGCCCCGCGGTGCAATTAGACAGACGGGCTGGCATGTTTGTTTGAATCGACGTGAACATAATCGAACGTTTTTGATCAACTGAACGTGTCGGTGATTTAAATTGTCAAAACATTTACTTTGTCCTGTTATTATTATTATTGTTGCGCTGCACAGCGTTTGTCAAATCACGGGTGGCCTTGATGGCGGAGTCGGCTCTGGAGGCACGTGCTCGGTCGGCCATTTTAAAACACGGGTGACGTCAAACTCGCAGAGAGAAGAGCTCGCGTTGATTTAGCGTGACGCATACGACAGATTTTGTTGATTATAAATGTTGTTATTTAGGGCAAAGACCTCGGCACTCGTGCTGATGGTAATTTAGTGAGCCACAGTGAAGATGCTCGAGCAAGTAAAACCTCACTCGCGCACACACACCCACACGGGATGAATGGCGAAATGGCGCTAAGTCTACGTGCTGCACCGCCCCTGTGTCTGGGTGTCATCGGGAGTTTCCGGAGCGGAGGTTTCACCTCGCGGTCTGTAGTCGCAATCACCGAGGTCGTAATTGTATTTTGTTTGTGTAGTTATTGTCCCAAGGTTGCGGCAGTTGCGGATTAGCTGGGCTGGCTTAATCGTTGTGTTTTTTTTAAGTAACATTTTAAAACAATCTGGATTCATATTTCTCGGTGCAGTCAATTTATAGGTCTCGCCCCCCCCCCCACCATTCCCTTGGTGTCAAACCCCTGGCGCCCTTCTGCTGGGTCGAATCCCCTTTGATGTGGGGGTCTGTGAAGGTCACGGGGGAGGTGCGTCAGCCATGACAGCTGGGAGGTTTTACTCCACAGCAACAGAGCTGCGTGCCGTGGCCTTTAAGGCCCAAAGCACAGCAGCGCAAGAGACGCCTCACCAACGGGAACACGAACACCGACGATGGAACACCCACCCATAGGATTTCATCCTCGGCACCTGGTAAGAGCCATCTCAGTGTCTACGTGAACCACCACCGGCACCACCATCCCTCCTTTGTTTCGTTTGTCGTCCTTCCCCCGCACCAACGACTAGCGCGGTTGGCTTTGTGCGGTGCGAAAGAAGTTCAACATCCGATGCACACGAGTCTCCCAAGCGGGCACGGAGCGTCACGAGCGAGCAGCACAGCCACAGTGTGAAGCACCGAGAACACAAATCACGGCACCACGACAGCTACAGCACTCACCACTCCGCTCACCACAGGGCTCACCACTCCGCTCACCACTCTCTCCCCACGGCGCTCACCACTCCGCTCACCACTCTCTCCCCGCGGTGCACACCACTTTCTCCCCACAGGGCTCACCACTCCGCTCACCACGGCGCTCACCACTCCGCTCACCACTCTCTCCCCACGGCGCTCACCACTCCGCTCACCACTCCGCTCACCACTCCCCACAGGGCTCACCACTCCGCTCATCACTCTCTCCCCACGGTGCTCACCACGGCACACACCACGGCGCTCACCACGGTGCTCACCACTCTCCACGGCGCTCACCACGGCACTCACGGTGCTCACCACTCTCTCACCACGGCACTCACCACGGCACTCATCACTCTCTCCCCACGGTGCTCACCATTCTCAACCCACGGCGCTCACCACTCCCTCCCCACGGCACTCACCACTCTCAACCCACGGCGCTCACCACGGACACTCACCACCCCCCCCTCCTCCTATTCCTCCAACGCGACCCGCGGTCCCAGACCGGACATCTCACGTCCCCTCGCGCCCGAGGCGATAATAAAAATGCGGTTATCGAGTATAATACACATACTGGATAACCACGTGATGTTAATACTAATAATGAGTGTAGTAATTACACACGGGTCGCGGTGCTGGGTTGGTGCTGCGCGAAGGTTGAGAGGAGCGCGCTGTTGTCTGGGTCCTCCTCCTGCTGCTGCTCCTCCTGCTGCTGCTGCTCCTCCTGCTGCTGCTGCTGCTCCTCCTGCTGCTGCTCCTCCTCCTCCTGCTGCTGCTCCTCCTGCTGCTGCTGCTGCTGCTGCTGCTGCTCCTCCTCCTGCTGCTGCTGCTCCTCCTGCTCCTCATCCTCGCCCTCTCGAGTCGCGTGGCATTGACGACGGGCGGCGTGAGACACGACTCGAGGAGCGACGCGACCGGCCGCTCTGTTCGCGACTCGCGTAGCGACTCTCGCGGGGTGGCGAGAGAGTCGGCACGCGGGCGTGAGACGCGTTGCGTGAGAGAGAGCGAGAGACGCGTTGCGTGAGAGAGAGAGCGAGAGACGCGTTGCGTGAGAGAGAGAGCGAGAGACGCGTTGCGTGAGAGAGAGAGCGAGAGACGCGTTGCGTGAGAGAGAGAGAGACGCGTTGCGTGAGAGAGAGCGAGAGACGCGTTGCGTGAGAGAGAGCGAGAGACGCGTTGCGTGAGAGAGCGAAAGACGCGTTGCGTGAGAGAGCGAGAGACGCGTTGCGTGAGAGAGCGAGAGACGCGTTGCGTGTGAGAGAGAGAGCGTGAGACGCGTTGCGTGCGTGAGGATGAGAGAGAGCGAGAGACGCGTTGCGTGACAGAGAGAGAGCGAGAGACGCGTTGCGTGACAGAGAGAGAGCGAGAGACGCGTTGCGTGACAGAGAGAGAGAGAGCGAGAGACGCGTTGCGTGACAGAGAGAGAGAGCGAGAGACGCGTTGCGTGCGTGAGGATGAGAGAGAGAAGGCGACGGGGGCCGCAGCTCAATGAGCAGAGCACGCGCGAGCCTCGGCACTGCGACGTCACGCCGCGGGGAGTGCGAAGTGGATGGACGAGAGGCCACCTCAGGCGGGAGTGCTGGGGCTGCGTGCCCGTGGCCCCGCCGTGGGACGCACCCCCACCACCCCCCCACCCCCCACCCCCACCACCCCCCACCCCCACCACCCCCACCACCTCCCCCCCCCCACCACCACCCCCCCACCACCACCACCACCACCCCCCACCACCACCACCACCCCCCCACCACCGCCGCCTACTTCATGACGGCGCGGACGGCGCGCCGGAGCCGCCGCAGCCGCGTGCCGCTGGCCCGCGCGAGCCCCACGAGGCCCCGCAGCTCGAGCGCCTCCTCCGCCTGCGGGGCCACGGAGCGGCGCTCCCGCCTCGTCACCCGGGCGCCGCCGCCGCTGCTGCCGGTGGTGGTGGTGCCGCTCATCGCGGAGTTGGCGGAGGAGGCGCTGCGCTCGTCACTCTCGGAGGGGTCGATGCGCTTGACGCGGATGAGCGGCTCGGCGGGAGGAGCATCTCTGCGGACTCGCTTCACCCGGGCGCGCTGCTGCTGCGGTGCCGCCAGCCGCCGCTGCTGCTGCTGACGCTGCCCCCTTGAGTCTGCGATCCGCAGCGACTCCATCTCCGCCGTCGCCGTACCCCGCCTGCTGCTGCTGCTGCTGCTGGAGCTGCGCGTCGCGACGGTACCGGGGGCGCACATCGTTGCCGACGTAGCCGTCAGCGGCGGAGCCGAACAGATAGCCCACGATGCGACCCAGGGCTTCCTCGTCCAGCCGCTGCTGCTGCTGCCCAATGCCCTCGCCCGCGATGGTATTGGGCAGCTGCTGCTGGGACGAGGAGGAGAGCTGCTGGCCCCAGCCGCTCCGCACTGCCGGCGCCCTCCAGCCTCCCGCCGCGCCCCCAGCGCGCTCCGCCGCCGCCTCCTCGCCCAGCTCCGCGGCCAGGGCGCGCACGAGGGCCTCGGCCAGCTCCGCGTACCCCAAGTCGCCCTCGGTCGCGTCCGGCTCCACCTCGTCCTCCTCCTCCTCTTCCTCCTCCTCCACGTCGTCGTTTTCATCGTCGTCATCGTCCTCCACCTCCTCCTCCACGAGGTTGTCCTCCAACTCGGGCTGCTGCTGCTGCTGCAGCTGCAGCAGCAGAAGCTGCTGCAGCTGCTGCTGCTGCTGCAGCTGCTGGGCCCTGGGTCCCGCGCCCGGGTACCCCGGCCCGTAGCCCAGCGCGGCCCGCAGCTGCCCCTCGGCCGCGTACTCGGCCGCCAGCTGCCGCAGCCGGGCGAGCTGCGGGCCGCTCAGATCGGCGAGCCCCGCGCCTCGCAGCGGCTGCTGCTGCTGCGACCCCGCGGCCTCCGCGAGGCGAGGGCGGCCACCGGCGGCTCCCGGCGGTCCCATCATGGCCCCGGGCCCGCGGCCGTAGGGCCCCGGGCCGCCGGCTCCCGGCGCCACGAGCATGGCGCCCTCGTAGGGCAGCGCCGCCTCCAGGCGCGCGGCCAGGGCCTGCGGACGCGCGTGGGGGTACGGGCCCCCCCGCAGCGCCACCAGCCGCTCGGCCTGCTGGGACAGCAGGGGCTGCGAGGACGTGGGGGGGAGTGGGGGGTGGAGTGGGGGTGGAGGGTCAGGGGGGAGTGGGGGTAGTGAGGGTGGAGTGGGGGTGGAGGGTGAAGGTGGAGTGGGGGTAGTGAGGGTGGAGTGGGGGTGGAGGGAGAGGGTGGAGTGGGGGTAGTGAGGGTGGAGTGGGGGTGGAGGGTCAGGGTGGAGTGGGGGTAGTGAGGGTGGAGTGAGGGTGGAGTGGGGGTGGAGGGTGAAGGTGGAGTGGGGGTAGTGAGGGTGGAGGGAGAGGGTGGAGTGGGGGTAGTGAGGGTGGAGTGGGGGTGGAGGGTCAGGGTGGAGTGGGGGTAGTGAGGGTGGAGTGAGGGTGGAGTGGGGGTGGAGGGTGAAGGTGGAGTGGGGGGTAGTGAGGGTGGAGTGGGGGTGGAGGGTCAGGGTGGAGTGGGGGTAGTGAGGGTGGAGTGGGGGTGGAGGGTGAGGGTGGAGGAGGGGTAGTGAGGGTGGAGTGGGGGTAGTGAGGGTGGAGTGGGGGTGGAGGGTCAGGGTGGAGTGGGGGTAGTGAGGGTGGAGGCGGGGTGTGGAGGGTGAGGGTGGAGTGGGGGTAGTGAGGGTGGAGTGGGGTGGAGGGTGAGGGTGGAGTGGGGGTAGTGAGGGTGGAGTGGGGTGGAGGGTGAGGGGTGGAGTGGGGGTAGTGAGGGTGGAGTGGAGGTAGTGAGGGTGGAGTGGGGGTAGTGAGGGTGGAGTGGGGTGGAGGGTGAGGGTGGAGGGGGGGTGGAGGGAGAGAGTTTAGTGTCTGCAGTGTGACCACAACTCGAGACGCTCAAGGAGACGATGTCCCCCTCCCTGTCCCCTGGGGCACGGCCCGCACGCGCTGCCCGAGAGGCCCGGGGTGGGGGGGGGGTCTCGCTGAACGCCCCCCCCCCCCTGTGTCGTCACAGAGACAGGGGGACCTCGTGAGCGAGCGAGGGGTGGGGAGGGAGCGAGGGAGGAAGGGGAGGGAGCCAGAGGAGGGAGCGAGAGAAGGGTGGAGAAGGATCTAGGGGTGGGGAGGGAGCGAGGGAGGAAGGGGAGGGGTGGAGAAGGAGCGAGGGGTGGCGAGGGAGCGAGGGGAGGGGAGGGAGGGAGTGAGGGGAGGGAGCGAGGAGAGGGGAGGGAGCGAGGGGAGGGATCCATGTTTACAGAGGCAGTCGTTCCCCTCCGCCTCGCGCTGACTCTGTGGAGTTGCAATCGCGAGATGTCGGCCTCCCTTTGTGGGGGTCTCCCTGCCGCCCCCCTCCCTCATACCCCCGTTCCTCGTCCAGGATCTCTCCACCAGCCCGTGCAGTACACCACGTGGGGCTACTGCACGGTGGAATCGCTATCATTGCGATCTCGAGATGCGGCACAGCAACGGGATGCACATTCATTTTACGGCGAGTGAGAGGGCAACGGAATCTACAGCACGGACGGTTTCGGAAATGGCCATTCATTCAGAGCGCATGAGCAGCAGAGGAGAATGAGCGACCTCCCACGAGTCCACGACTCACTGGTCTTGCCAGCACAGGCTATGTAGGCTACACGGGGGAACTTTGTATTTGCGGTGAGTGGTGGCGCAGCGGTTGGCGCATTGCCCGACTCACCATGCGACCTGCATTCGATTCCCAGCGATAGTCAACGTAAGTGGCGAGTGTTATTTGGGCCTCCCCCAAAGTCGACTCGGCCTTAAATAAGATTACACTGCGTGAACATCGCCACTGGGGAGACAAAGGCGGCCGACGGGCGTGATGCTGGCCACCCACCCCCTCGTGTGCCGTGTTGGCCTTAACAGGTGCTCGCTAACAGCACTTGCTCCAAGACTCTGTTGAAGACACACGGGGAATCTTTGGTGGTGGTGGTGGCTACGCTGTTGCCCGTGGCTGCCATTGATTCAGCGCTGTGGAGCCAGCAGCATTGGGGGTTGGTGGATCAGACACGGATGCTTTTGTGAAAATCCATTCCCCGTGGGCGTCGAGGAGATGCTATAACCTTCGCTCGCCAGGAGATAGTGGTACAGCAAGTGAACTAATCGCCATGTATATTCTTGGTTCTTTCGGTAAAGTCACGTAGAAGGGAAACAATAAAATAATAAAAATATAAAACAATACAATTCTCACGACGTTTCGACTGCAACACAAGCAATCATCATCAGGTGTGAAACCCACAGCAAGAAAATTTGAAAAAAGTGGTTTTCACACCTAATGATGATTGCTTGTGTTGCAGTCGAAACGTCGTGAGAATTTTATTGTTTTATATTTTTATTATTTTATTGTTTCCTTTCTACGTGGTGACTTTACCGAAAGAACCAAGAATATGAATCCCTGCAGTCACGAAAGCTTTAAATCATAATTTAATCGCCATGTGTTTCCATCGGTACGGGAATTGAGTGTCGCCCCCTCGCGAAAGGCGTGGGGGTTTTTCCTCAAGGTGCTCCCCTCTTGTATAATAATCACTCGTCGTGAATTTGGCCGAGAAACATCTCGGACGTTAAAAAAAGAAACCCCGACGCCAATGTCGCGGCAGTCCTGGGACTCGGCGTGGCCCCTGCTGGGCCAGCGAAGAGGGTCGGAGCGAGGAGGCGGTGAGCGCGCCTGGTCTGCGCCTGCTGCTCGTGGGCTGCTTGGCGTCAATCCTACGCGAGATCGCCCAGTTGGCCACCACCCTCCCCTCCCTCCCCCCTCCCTCCCTCTCCCTCCCCCTCCCTCCCTCTCCCTCCCCCTCCCTCCCCCTCCCTCCCCCTCCCTCTCCCTCCCTCCCCCCCCCTCCCCTCCCTCCCCTCCCTTCCCCTCCCTCCCTCCCCCTCTCTCCCTCTCCCTCCCTCCCACTCCCCTCCCTTCTTCCCTCCCCCTCCCCTCCCTCCCCTCCCTCCGCCTCCCTCCCTCCCCTCCCCCCTCCCTCCCCCCCCTCCCTCCTCTCTCCACTGCTCCGTCCCCACGCCTCGGCCGAGCGATGCGCACATCAACAAAAATGGCCTCGGCCGTCGTCTCGCTCCCCGCGTTCCGCACGCCGTGCGGTCCACGCCCCGACAGCCCCCCCCCCACGCCCCGACAGCCCCCCACGCCCCGACAGCCCCCCACGCCGTCACTGAGGGGGTGCCCATGTTTGGCTGTGGAGCCATTGACACCGCCGATCGGTGCGGTGTGGGCAAGGCGCGGCCGTCAGGGGAGCGTCAGGGAGTGGGGTTGGCGTGGGGGTTGGCGTGGGGGTTGGCGTGGGGTTGGCGTGGGGTTGGCGTGGGGTTGGCGTGGGGTTGGCGTGGGGTTGGCGTGGGGTTGGCGTGGGGTTGGCGTGGGGGGCGCCATGGGATCGGGGGGCCGTGCGGCCAAAGCGTTCGAGAGGCGCGTCACTGTCACCGTATTTGCGTGGGCATGGGGCTGAGACCTTGTCGCGTGTGGTGTATGTGTGGTGTGTGTGTGGTGTGTGTGTGGCGTTTGTGTGGCGTGTGTGTAGTGTGTGTGTAGTGTGTGTGTAGTGTGTGTGGTGTGTGTGGCGTTTGTCTGGCGTGTGTGTAGTGTGTGTGGTGTGTGTGTGTAGTGTGTGTGTGTGGCGTTTGTGTGGCGTGTATGTGGTGTGTGTGTGTGCGGTGTGTGTGTGTGTGGTGTGTGCGTAGTGTATGTGTGGTGTTTGTGTGTGTCCTGTGTGTGGTGTGTGTGTGTGGTGTTTGTGTGTAGTGAATGTGTGTGTGGGGTGTGTGGGGTGTAGTGTGTGTGGGGTGTGTGTGGCGTACGTGTGTGGGGTGTGTGTGCTGTGTTGTGTAGTGAATGTGTGTGTGGTGTGTAGTGTGTGTGGGGTGTGTGTGTGTATGTGTGGGGTGTGTGTGTATGTGTTGTGTCGTGAATGTGTGTGGCGTACGTGTGTGGTGTGTATGTGTGGCGTACGTGTGTGGTGTGTATGTGTGGCGTACGTGTGTGGGGTGTGTGTGTACGTGTGTGGGGTGTGTGTATGTGTGGGGTACGTGTGTGTATGTGTGGGGTACGTGTGTGGGGTGTGTGTGTACGTGTGTGGGGTGTGTGTGTGTGGGGTACGTGTGTGTGTGTGTGTACGTGTGTGAGGTATGTGTGTGTGTGTGGGGTGTGTGTGCCGAGTGCGGGTGTTAACGGCGCGTCCCACCTGCCAGAGTTTATTACCAGCGTGCTGTTTGCACACCTGTGCATGCGCAATAGCCTCTCATTTTGAAGCAATCACGGCCTTCATCACCGATATTTGTGTGCCGTGTGTGTTCCGTGGGCGATTTCATCGTTGAGCCGATGCGTTGTGCCGATAAGTCGTAGCTGATGCGCCATTCATTCTGTAAACTCGTAGCAACGTTGGCGAATGATGACGATGGTGCTGCTTCTGTACGTGTGTTCAACTTCTTTCGCACCGTACGTAGTCAACCGTGCTAATGGGAGGCGCTCTTCAATGGCTGGTCGCTGCAGCTTTCGCTCTAGGTGAATTCGTCGCTAATTGAGATGTTTATTTTAAGAACCCCCCACTCAGCACCATTAGTCAGTGCCCAAAATCGTTATTTTACATTCAGAGCGGGCTCGCTTTGAAGCAGCGAGGCAGTGGAGGAGGAACGATCCAATAGCCGAGCGGCAGCCATGCCGTACACACAGCAACAACGCGCAATCCCTCGCGGCAGCTGGCGCCGGTTAAACCACACAACAACACGGAACACGCGTGGTGGTGAGCGTACATATACGTGTGTCATGCATGTGTCATACGTGTGTGCGGCGATAACGCATTGCGCGTCGTCATTAATGTATAAACGAGGCATCTCGCGAGCGTGCACAGTGACACAAAGGGACGCTGGGGTGACGCCGCGATGGGAATGGAGTCGTTTGCTGTGGTCGTTCGCTGTGGTCGTTCGCTTCGAAATTTTGCAGCGGCAGCGTCTCGAACTCTCACCTTGGCCGTGGCGCTGCTGGCGATGGCGAGGACCGCGACGAGCATGGAGACGGGCAGAGCCATCGCTGTGGCGAAGAGACGCGGGGGGGGAGGTCTCGAGGAGAGCTCGGGGTGGAGAGCGCATGGGGAGAGGGTTTGGGTGGAGAGCGCACGGGGAGAGGGTTTGGGTGGAGAGCGCAACGCTGCTGCCGCTGTCCGAGGTGCTGAACAACGGAGCGGTGGGAGGAGGAGTAGCGGAGAGAATATGGCGAGGCAGGCGGGGAGGGGCCCTGTGGTGTTGGGAGGGTGGGGGAGTGGCCTTGGCGAATAGGGGGTGGATGAGGAGGGCGAATAGGAGCGATAAGGAATTCGGCTGTGCGTGTGTGTTGGTGAATAGGATAGATATATGAAATGGGGCTGTGTGTGTGTGTGTTGGTGAATAGAAATGAGAATGCGGATGTGTGTGTGTTAGTGAATAGGAGGGAAAGGGAATGGGACTGTGTGTGTTGATGAATAGGAGGGAGTGGGAATGCGGCTGTGTGTGTGTGTGTGTTGGTGAATAGTGGCAATCGCACGGCTGTGTGTGAGTGAATAGGAGAGAAAATGGGGATGTGTGTGTGTTGGTGAATAGGAGAGATACACATGCGGCTGTGTGTGTGTTGGTGAATAGGAGGGAGTGGGAATGCGGCTGTGTGTGTTGTTGAATATTATGAATATTAGAGAGAGGGAATGGGGCTGTGTGTTCGTGAATAGGAGAGAAAATGGGGCTGTGTGTGTTGGTGAATAGGAGTGGTAATGCGGCTGTGTGTTAGTCAATAGGAGAAATAAAGGGAATTGGGTTGTGTGTGTGTTGGTGAATAGAGATAATTGGGTTGTGTGTGTGTGTTGGTGAATTAGAGATATACATGTGTAGAGGTGTTAACTACGCGCTGTTGTGTAACCTGCATTGCCATCAGGGCAGTGCAGCATTACCCCTGGGTACAACGGTTGGGGTCAGTTGAGGTGAAACGGATCGTGGCCAGGGTTTGGTACGAACCAATCAGACGGTTCCACGTGGGAATGCATGATTGGTTCTACCTGGCCACGAAGGGGTATAAGACGGGTGACCCAACGGACCTCGGGGAGTTCTCTCCCTGCACGAAGATAGAAGACTGGGCTGAAGCCTAGCTAGGACCCTGGACCAGCCTTTCAGCCCTTCTAAGGGCTAAGGCTCGGCATACCCAGTGGTCAGGACCCACCGGGCCAGCGGTGGGTCAGATAGCCTCCCCTAGGTCCTAGCCGGAGGACTAGGAAAGCGGTAGACGTGTGAGTCCCGCCAAGTCCGGAGGCTGTACCTCCTTAGGTATCAAGGAGGTTAGCGGTAGACGTGTGAGTCCCGCCAGGTCCGGAGGCTGTACCTCCCTAGGGTATCGGGTGAGGGGACCGAATATCCCTCTGTGTGTGTTAAGCGTTGTATAAGGAAATAATACAATAAACAGAGTGTGCCTCCTAAAGAAGTCTGCTCGTCCTTACAACACTACACATGGAATGGGGCTGTGTGTGTGTTGGTGAATAGGAGAGAGGGAATTGAACTGTGTTGGTGAATAGGAGAGACACAGGGAATAGGGCTGTGTATGTGTTGGTGAATAGAGGGGGAAAATGGGGCTGTTGGTGAATAGGAGAGAGGGAATTTAAACTGTGTAATGGTGAATAGGAGAGATACACATGCGGCTGTGTGTGTGTTGGTGAATAGGAGGGAGTGGGAATGCGGCTGTGTGTGTTGTTGACTATTAGAGAGAGGGAATGGGGCTGTGTGTTCGTGAATAGGAGAGAAAATGGGGCTGTATGTGTGATGGTGAATAGGAGAGATATACATGCGGCTGTGTGTGTTGGTGAATATTGGGAATATTAGAGAGAGGGAATGGGGCTGTATGTTCGTGAATAGGAGAGAAAATGGGGCTGTGTGTGTGTTGGTGACTAGGAGTGGGAATGCGGCTGTGTGTGTTGGTGAATAGTAGAGTGAGGGGGATGGGGCTGTGTGTGCTGGTGAATAGAGAGGGGAAATGGGGCTGTGTTGGTGATTAGGAGGGGAAATGTGGCTGTGTGTGTTGGTGAATAGGAGTGGGAATGCGGATGTGTGTGTGTTGATGAATAGGATAGGGAATGGGGCTGTGTGTGTTGGTGAATCGGAGAGAGATCATTGGGGCTGTGTGTGTTGGTGAATATGAGAGATACAGGGAATGGGGCTGTGTGTTTGTGAATAGGAGAGAGAGGCAATCGGGCTGTGTGTGTGTTGGTGAATAGGAGCTCTCCCTGGTTCTGTAAGGGCATGTGGGTTGCAAGGCCGCGCCTGTAAAAGGAGGCGAGTGGTGCTGCGTGAATGAGCAGCGGGTCACTGTGACGAGGAATGCATCACCAAAGGCAAATATCCCCCGTATAGCCTTAACACCCACCCCCTCGCATAACACACGAGGGGGTGGGTGGCCAACACCACGCCCGGCCGCCTTTGTCCCCCCAGTGGCGATGTTTGCACATCGCACCGGCTACTCATTGAAGGTCGAGTTCCATCTGGGGCAGGCCCAGAACAGGTTCAAATAATCATCACTGTTGTTGGCCGTGAGCTGGAATCGAAGTCGGGTCGCCGGGTTCGTAGCGCAGTGCGTTAACCGCTGCGCCACCGCTCCTCATCACCGCTCTCCATCACCAGCGCCGTCCCCGCCCTCGGCCGCTCCCTCCTCCTCCTCTTCCTCCTCCTCCCGGCTGTGACCTCCCCGCGTGCTGCTCACGTCGATGACGCGGTGCTCATCGCGAGCTTGGCGGCCTCTTCATCGAGCAGCGGAGGCCTCGCAACCAATGAAGACAAACACGACACGTGGCATAATACAGCCAATGAGGACCTGGCCTCGGTGGCCACGCTGCTGCACGTGGGTGCTCGAACCCAGCGCCGTGGAGGCAGCAGCGAGGGTTGATGGATCACACAAAGATGTTGTGAAACTCCCTTCTACCCGTGGGCGTTGAGGGAGTTGCCACAAGCCTGGCCCGTCAGAAGGCAGTACAGCGAGTGGACTAATCGCCATCTGTTGCCATCTGTACAGGGATAGAGTGTTGCCCCCTCGCGCAAGGCGTGGGTTTATCTCTGGGTGCTTCGGTTTCTTCCTCCCACACGTGAATAATAAACACGAATCGTCATCGATTGCTTAAAAATAACTTCACATTCAAACTCAACGTAGCAACAGGGCCCTCCTGAAAACGCGTGGCTCTGCTGGATAAATGAGCAAATCATTATGAAATAAGTAAATAGAGCACTTTAATGAAGCATTGACTGATATGCAGCAGGCGTCTCCAGCACACACGGGGACACGCGTGCAGCCCGTTGCTGGATGCGGAGGGTTGCCACTCTATCGTCCGCGTCAGTTAATCATTAAACGGATTAATTTAAAAGCTATTCATGTATAAGTCACCGGTAATGTTTGCGTCGGCAAAATCACAAAAATCGTGACACCGCGACTTGAACTGCGACCCCCCCCCCCCGACTGCGGAGCGGGTAAACCCCGTGGAGCGAACGTCAAGAAACCCCCCTCACCCCCCTCCCCCCCTCTCGTCGAGCTCCGCTGCGTGAAAGGTGGTCACTCCTCTTCCACCTCTGCTGCTGCTGGCCCCACTGTCTGGCACCCCCTCTCCCAGATCGTCCCCGGCCCCAGTTGGTGGCCGGGCTCCAGCCCCCCCCCCCTCCTCTCCTCCTCCTCCTCCTCCTCCTCCACTGCCTTGTCTCTCTCCCCTTCCCGTTCCTTGCTTATGCTGCTGCCCCGCCACCTACCACGAGCGCCGCCCCCTCTCACCAGCCCCGCCCCCTCTCACCAGCCCCGCCCCCTCTCACGAGCCCCGCCCCCTCTCACGAGCCCCCGCCCCCTCCCACGAGCCCCGCCCCTGCCCACGGACAGCGCCGAGGACCCACCGCGAGCGTCGCCCTCCAGCGGGCGTCACGGGAGACGCCGGCCCCTGAGTGGAGCACAGAGAGCGCCAGAGTCGCCCGTGTGCCCAAGGGCACGTTAAAGACCCCGGGCACGTTAAAGACCCCGGGCACGTTAAAGACCCCGGGCACGTTAAAAGACCCCGGGCACGTTAAAGACCCCGGGCACGTTAAAGAACCCCGGGCACGTTAAAGACCCCGGGCACGTTAAAGACCCTGGGCACGTTAAAGACTCTGGGCACGTTAAAGATCCCGGGCACGTTAAAGACCCCGGGCACGTTAAAGACCCCGGGCACGTTAAAGACCCCGGGCACGTTAAAGACCCCGGGCACGTTAAAGACCCCCGGCACGTTAAAGACTCTGGGCACGTTAAAGATCCCGGGCACGTTAAAAGACCCCGGGCACGTTAAAGACCCCCGGGCACGTTAAAGACCCCGGGCACGTTAAAGACCCCGGGCACGTTAAAGACCCCGGGCACGTTAAAGACCCCGGGCACGTTAAAAGACCCCGGGCACGTTAAAGACCCCGGGCACGTTAAAGACCCCGGGCACGTTAAAGACCCCGGGCACGTTAAAGACTCCGGGCACGTTAAAGACCCCGGGCACGTTAAAGACCCCGGGCACGTTAAAGACCCCGGGCACGTTAAAGACCCCGGGCACGTTAAAGACCCCGGGCACGTTAAAGGCCCCGGGCACGTCAAAGACTCTGGGCACGTTAAAGACCCCGGGCACGTTAAAGACCCCGGGCAAACTCAATTGTCTATCCATTGTACTGTACGTCTATACTCCCCGCCTTCACCAACCCGCACTGACCAGCGCGGTGAAGTATGGTCAAACAACGTCCATGACCCGCAAGGTGTGATTGGGGCCCTTATCCAGCGGTGGAGTTGATTAAGGTGTTTGTAAATCGGTGTGTGGTCCAGTGGTGATCGTGCACTTGTGTTGCAGACCAGCCGGTGTGTTCCGCGTTGCTGTTTGTCGCCACGTGTGATTGTGCGGTAATCGTGTAATGTGCACATTAATCGACAGTATACATTACATCGATTATCTGAACTGGTCCTGGGCCTCCCCTATGTCGACTCAATCTCAAATAAGTACCTGGCGTGGTGGGTAAACATCGCCACTAGGGGAGACAAGGGCGGGTCGGGCGTAGTGCTGGCCACCCATCCCCTCGTGTACCCTGCCGGCCATCACAGGTGCCCCTCGCTAACAGCACTTGCCCCAACAGTTTGTTAAAGGCTTTACGGGGGGATCTTTGTGTCTCTGTGTACTTGCTGTCCACTGGACACATGAATCGCATCGTGCGGGATTAAAGAGTCGACACGAACCCTCCCCGAGCCCAGCTCCCAACGGCGCCCCCCCCCCCCCCCCCCGCCGTTCACTCGCACCCCGCAACAAAGTGGCACTCAGTCACTCAACGGGGACTCATCGCCCCTGCAGGGGAG